CTGGTTCAGTTGCTAAGGCTGGCTTTGAACTTGTGATCCTCCTGCTTCAGCCTCCCAAGCTGCTGGGAGTAGGCAAATGATACAGATGACTACCTCACAGCAGATATGCCTGGACACACAGAGAGTTTGAGAATTATGAAGCAAACCAGAGGCATTCACATAACCCGTGAAATAGCTAAGGAATAACTGGGCCCAGAATAATGTTGATTCAATAGAACACAATTATCTGGGCATAGTAGTACATGCCTATAATCCAAGTGCCTCAAGAGGCAAAAGACAGGCCAAAGATCACAAGTTCAAGGCCAGCCTTGGCAATTTAATGAGGCCCTATGCAACTTAGTGAGACCATGTATTGAAATAAAAAATGAAAAGGAATGGGGATGTGGCTCAATGGTACAATATATAGTACTACAAAAATAAATAAATAAATAAATAACACAAAACCTTACAGTTATTATGCCTTTCTGAATATAATACACTTTCCATTTTCTCTACCATGAAGAAATCAGTAATTTTCTAACTGAACATTTTGAAACTGTATTCTTACTATAAAATTCTCTGATCAACTGCCCTTTTACCAAGGCCCAGGACAGCCTGGGTGAAGAGGAGAAGGACCTAACTGTAGGGTAAGGAACCTGGGTACGATGGCTGGAATGAGTTAAAACTTCTGGACTTAGAAGTTCGCAGCAAACAATGAAGATGACTAGCAGAGGAGCATACTAAAATTATATGGTTTATAAAACAAATTTAGAAATAACACTTCTACTCTCAATATCCTAAAAAATCAGAACACTGTAAGTTATTTTCTTTCATTTGTTTGTTTAAATCATTTAACAAACCTTTACAGAACACCTACATTTATCAGGCACTCAATAAGACTGTAGACAAAAATGACCAAAACAATATCAATGAGATTATTCCAGTATTAATTCAAGTCTAAGTGGTTATAAAAAAGCATTTTATAAATTAGAGACTCTTTGCACTGTGTATTCTTAAATAAGTGAAATACAAGTAACTTATTAACATTTTAAAAGAAATTGTTTTCAAATATATATAGTTACATGGATATGAAGCAGTAGTATAAAAATAAGTTCTTATTTTTACATCAATTTATTTTGGAAAACCATAAGAATATTGGCAATTCGCAGTTGATATAATGCAGAATAAGAGATGGTAATATAATGTCCTGAAAATATTTTTAGATAAATCAGAAATTTTAAACTTCTTGTATACTGTACACAGAAGAATGGAACCTTAAAGATCTTTTCAATGAGAAACTTTAGTTATATTCTACAATATAACAATGAATATTTGCAGTACAAATTTAAAGAATTTAATTAAAATTAACTTCTTGATATGGTAGAAAACAATCCATTTCACAGATTGTATCATCCCTTACAATGTTTTCCTTTGAAAAAGAAAGAAAACATATATGTCATGTAATGAGCCAAACTAACAGAAGACAATTTAGCAGTGGGGAGGTAGGTGCTGGGAAAAGTAAGGGACTAGAAATAAACGACTTTTACAATCACTCTTCAGAATGTTCCTGAAGAGATAAACTTTTCTTCACATACTTCCACAAAGTTTTCTATTCTAGAATTTAAAAATGACCCTTGTAAAAACATAACAAAATAAAACATCTGATTTCATACTTGAAAAGTAGGTAACAGTTTTTAGAGTATGAATTCATGGCAATTTTCTCAGAGTATAAATTACAAATTGTACTTTACTTAGAGAATGCTTATCACTAGTAACAGAAAGTTCTGAGTAAGTTACATAAGCCACAATGCTTTGGGGGCCCTCATTGGGAAAATGTGGATAATAATGGTGCTTGAGGCTCCCTGGTGTGTAGCTTAGTGATGCGGTTAGTGACTCTACTATGCCTATTCTGCGCATTACCTCATTAAAATTTAACAAAAATATTCTGAGGTGGGTATCATTTTTTCCACTTCATACTTGAGGAAACCAAGAACAAAAGGCTGAGCAAACTTCCCACAATTGAGCAACTGACAGTGGTAGAATTCAAACCAAGGTCCTACAAGACCCTTTAGTTCATATTTAGAAACAGATGCTACCTATGTGTAAGCATCACCAGAGAGCTTTCTATATCTATGAGAAGCACATTTGTGTTTATCTCCAATGCTAGGTTTTTCGGTGTACAGAACAGTTATATACAGTAGAAGTAAAACACAGGTAACCCTATACAAAAACCATTAATTATTTTTTGTTACAGAACATAGTTAAAATAAGAACAAGAAGACTTGGACTGCTACCAACAAATGGCAACAACAAATACATTTTTGGTCTACATACTTAGGTATGTTTTTGACCATAACATATTTGTAAATTGAGAGTTTTCATATATGGTTGAATAAAAAGGCCCATAATACACTGGCAATAAGAATTCCTCGAAGGCAATTGCTTGAAAGATGTCAATGTAATTTACTACAGAAAAACACCCACCAAAAACTGTGGAATGAAGATGAACAGCCTCTATTAATGCTAATTGAAATTCTCGTATCCACATATAGCATGCATAAAATTTACTTCTACACTTATTCTTTCCACCTCTAAACTACAGTAAGTCCATGCCAAAGTACCAGCTTTTTAATTTGAGCAGCTGTGTGTGCAAATTGATACTTTTTCTGGCAATTATATCTACAAATTTAATACAGGTGAAATCCCACTATTTGCAAAACAAAGTCTTAATTGTGGTTGTTCAAAAGGAGTGAAAACTGAATCTCCTGGCTTAGGAATTCAATTAAAAGCTGAAAATTATCATTTCTTAAAGTTTTTCACTTCAAAAACATCTTTTTTTTTTACAAACATGAGCACTAATAGATGTGGGTAAAATGGCCCCGCTCCCATAAATAAACAAACAGATAAATAAAATTAATTGAGCGGTACAACCTTCTTCATGGCCACAATTAATAACAATTCTCCTCTTTCTACCTACATAGAGTTATCAAATAACATATAATCTTTTAATAAACAAAAGTGAAACTATATTATTGCTTTTTGCTCTAATTACAAAATATGACTATAATTTCTTTTGAGGCCATTTGAAATTACTTTGTGATCAAAATGAATAATAAAAAAAGGTTAAGAACCATTAATAAACAGAGTTTTCAGTAACAAATTATTTATTTTGATTTAAGAATATCATAGCTATAGAAGAATAGGTTGTATCCTAGGATACAACCCAATGATTGATTCTTGCTCAGGTTCTCAATTGCACAGTATATTGTATTTAAAAATATTACCTGTACTGCATTTAAACAGATAATGCAGTTGGTTTAGAAGATTTTTTGAAGACCTAATAATAATTTGTTGTTGTTGCAAATTTGGCTTTCCTTTCCATAAAAGCCAATTCAACACAATATCAACATTAATGATTAGGAAAAGAAGCACTGTCACTTTTCCTGAAGCCTTTTAGGGGTTAGACAAAAAGCCACCTAATTTGTCATTCTCTCTAAAGTAGTGGTAGAAAGCCATTCATTCATTCACTCAACAAAGAGCTATTGAACCTGACTTAAATGCATGCATTATATTACACTAATGTCTGGAAGACAAAAATAATTATCAGATAGATACATTTTAAAAAGAGGATATATAGTGTTGAGGTTGTGGCTCAGAGGTAGAGCGCTTCCCTAGCATGTGTGAGGCCCTGGGTTCGATCCACAGAACCACATACAAATAAATAAAATAAAGATATTGTGTCCACCTACAACTAAAAAAACCCCCATATTTTTAAAAAACAGTTTATATAAGGTAATGTAATTGGTCATATGAAATTTAGAATCTGTTTCTGTAAGAAAATGTGTATATACTGGACTATTTAGAAGAATGGCATGCTAGTGAAAGCATGGTAAAAAAAAATGGATGTGCATGATGGCATGTGTCTGTGATACCACTACTCAGGAGGCTGAGACAGGAGGAATACACACACACACACACACACACACATATGTGTGTGTATATATATATATATATATATATATATATATATATATATATGTATCTGGGCTGGTGTATAATCCCGTGGTAGAATGCAACTAGGTGAAGTTCCAGTACTTAAAGAATATTTTTTTAAAAGTGCAGAAAATAAGGATATTAACAGGAAAATCTAAAAGATAGAAATACTTGAATGGGTATATTACTATCAAAATTCAGACACCTCTGTTTTAATTTTCCACTACATTTAATCTTAGAGAACATTATTATGGCTTGCTTCAAAACTTAACTTTTAAATTAAGATAATTCTGTTCTCCTGTGTAAATAAAAGTAAAAAAAAAGAAATAAAAAAACTGAAGCTATTTATAGTTATCTTTAAACAACATTAAAAGGAAATAGTATGTTCCAGAGAGATAAGGGATACTTTTAAAGAACTGAAAGAAAAGATTAGATCTCAAGCTTATTCAAAACTGTTCTCCATTGTCATTTCTTATAAAAATTGTGATTTTTTTGTACTTACCATTTATGTACATTATTCTCTATATCAAATAAGTTCACTCAGACAAAGGCACACTCAAACTGACAATATGTCCCATGAAGTGGTCACATAAAATGATCTGTGAGGTGAATATATTGGTTAACAGTTCCTGCAGCATTGTATCATCCTAAACCCTTGATATGTTCCAAGCAAAGAGCATTTTTGAGGGTATTTCACAATTAATTAGAAAGGATAGCATCCTATCTTAGCAAAGGTTTTGTGTATTTCAGTATGCAAAGATCTAACCAGCAGCTAATGACACATTCCCATAGAAAAGAAGAGCTAAAATTTTTGGAGAAAAGCTGTACAAAGGACAAATAATCAGGTTTTCATAGTTATAAATTGTTAGGACTGAAAGTGGTATCATTGATTTCTCTAAAAAGATAAGAAAAAGAATAGTTTTAGGTACACGGGCCAGAAGAGAGAGAGACCACAGTTTATCTAATTAAAATCATGAGAATAAACTCTAAGTATCCACCCACAGAATACCATCAAAATTCAAACTTACCTGATCTACTATCCAGAGGTCCAAAGTCCAAGGAATATTTCACTACATGATAGTTATTCCACACATAGAGTAGGTTGTCCCTGGGGTTGTAATCCACAGCTGCTATGTATTGATATGAATTGGGAAAAGGAACATCCACCAGACTATCCTTGCTTTGGTCGGTATTGTAAATGTAGTCAATCTTATTCCCGGTGGCCTCATTGTCATCATCCTCATATACAGATTTGACCACATACAGAATCCCACAAATCATAAATGCATTGGAAGCTGACCTTTTATCATATGCAGTATCCCATGTCCCTTCAATCCGTAGGGTATAAGGGTTCAACTGACTAATGACGATTTTACCATTGTTTTGTTCTGTTGCATAGATGACCCAGAGCCCATTTTCATCCACTGCCAGGTCTATGTCAGATTTGCCTCCCCATCGGTAAGGGGAGGTATCATGGTAATTGGCATTTGCTATGATAGCCTCTCCACTCTTTATCCTAGTCCGCAAATCAAACTTTACTATGTTCCTGGTGCGTTCTTTATTGAAGAACAAAGCTCCATCATACACAACAAATCCTGTGCCATCCACCCTATGAGGGAGCTTGTAGGTAGTAGTTGGCCTTCCAGCAATGAAGTCATCTTTGGATGAATATTCAGTCAACGTATCAGTTCTGTAGGGGGTCCAGGGCATATAATAAATCTTGTCAGAAGCCTGAAGAGGGTCTTTGCACCATGCCCCAGACTGGTGGTCAGACTCAAACAAATGTTCACTCTGGTATACTCCTTTTAGTAGTCCAGGACAAAGAAAAACTGTTGGAAGGGAAAGAGTTAAGACAAAAAATTGTATTAATTACTTATTTTCTCATATTCTTATTTTTCAGCAAGAATGCAACTGTAACCAGAGATACCCACCACCACTTATTTTGGTGCATTTTTTGAGAACACAAAGTATTTTTCCATATTAATTTTGACTTTTTTAAAAAAACACTTTGATTTAATTTGCTTAAAAATTTAGACTTTTTTAATGAGTAGCTGTGCTTTCCTGTGGTTTTTACCTTTGTTAAAGTGTATGATAACATTTGTGAATATATGTATCAAGTGCAACATATGTCTATGTGTTCTATAGACATATAACAAATACAAAACTTTATACACAATGTGTTTATTAGTTCACTGAAGAACATATCTTATTTGGAAATGAAAGTATATTGTTTCCACTCTCAAAAAATTAGCTGTTGAACAGTTGTCATTAATAAACATAGGAATATCCCATAGTAATTTTTGTTTAAATAAATGAAAAATCTTGTATGTTACAGGCCAGTGAATCCTCTAGCAAAAAAAGCTCTTGAAACTGCTACAACACGCACAGAGCATGCAGTCCACACAATTAAAAATGAGTGATGGATGGATACTGGAAGAAAAAAGAGAAAGGAAGAAAAAGAAAGGAAAGAAGGAATAAGGAAAGAAGAAAGGGTGAAAAGTTACAGAAAAGAACCCAAGATCTAGATTTTAATCAGTTAAAAATGTCCTGTTAAATACAGTAGTATTGGAACTTAAAACATGTACCTTTTACTGTTACATGAAAAAAGCATTAAAAAACAAGATTACTTGCTATATTTTGCTGCTCATACTTCAGAATGAAAACAGGCAAGAATCATCTGATTCACCTGCATTTTAGTATGATTCAGTAACATATTGTGACAGTGGTTATAAGAAAGCTTGTCTGATTCATCTGACATGAAGGGGCAATAAAGCAATGTTTCCCATAGGGTGGTCCTTGAAGCACTGGTTTCAAGTAGTAAAGCTAGGTATTACAACAAAAGAAAAAAAAAAGGATCCTTAGCCACATTTGTCTAAGAAATGTTACATCAGATACTATTGTGGTAGAGATTCTAATAGCACAGGTAAATTAGAGAATCTCCCAGGCAGAAGCTGTAGGGTGAGGAATTTTCACAAACTAATTTGATCTTGGAATTTTTCCACAGAGCCTCTTTGGATTGCAGTCTTCTGCTGAACCTGCTGTGGGAAACACTGCTCTAATATATTTGCAAAGCAAACACACTGAAAAATAATCATGCAGTCCACTGTTATGTTTGAAGTGATTAGAAATATACGGGGTGGAAAAATTAGGAAATCACAAGGAATTTAGATGCTGACCCACTTTTAATGATTTATTATTCTTTCAGCATTAGTGATTAGCTTTTTTAATAGCGATTATAAGCGCAGATTCAATGGAAAACAAGATGAAACTCAGCTACATTTTTGGAGATTATTGAAGAGGACAATAAATTACCAAAATCTCCCAAGTTTTAATTTTGAAGAAATAAAAAAAAAATGTCAGGGGAACTGGCTATCAAAATATTCCATAGCAAGAATAAAAGAGCATTGTCAATTTAGAAACCATGATAATATTGATGATTATAAAAAATTTCTCAGCTGTTTAAATGATTGCTTTAGTTGTAAGGAAAAGTAACTCTTTGCTGTAAAAATTGTCCATCACCTTTATGCTAAAGTTAATAATAAGCCCTTGGTTGCTAAAGCAATTTAAAATATTTTAGAAAATTATCTCCCTTTCCCCCTAGTAGACACAAATGAGTGAAACAGGGGAACCTACACCAGAGCTATGAGAAATCATTTAGCACATAAATAAAAACAAATCTAAAGCAATCACTGTTCATCACATCTATTGGATTTCTAACTACTTACTTAAAAATAAAGAGGAATATAATATAATGTTGAAAATTTTACAATATTAAACTGTGTTAGGATAAAAGGATAAAACTAGCATTGGTCAGTAAAACAGATTAAAGTGAAGTTGAGCAGCAGAAGTAGTAAATAAACTTCCATAAAATAGATAAGAATTAATAACAAAATTATTTTAGCTCAATGTTAAACTGTTAAATAACTTAGCCTATAAATAGCATATAATTTATGAAAGGTATTTAATTACCTTTTTGTTCCACTTCTATTGGAGAGAGAGAAGTAAAGAGAGAAAGGAGAAAAGAGAATAGATTAATGGTACGGTATTGGCCAAGCAGTTTTTATTCACCTCTTCCAAACTGAAAGTAAATAATTCATTTCACTCATACTTCCTTCATCGAACATTATGTTTATTATTTAAAAACCCATTTGTTTAATGCAGTTTTAAAAAAAATCATGTAAACTTTAAAATACAGTATAAACTTGGAAAAATAGGCAAAAATTAATCAAGCTGATTGAATAAGCATACTACTCCAAATGATAGACATGAAATGCAATATTTATAATTACACCAATATTTTATATTTTAAAGGGCAGGTCAGCAATTATGTATACAGAAAGCTTTCAAATAATTTTGTTTGTTTTACTTGTAAATACTAACTCTGTACCATTATTTAAGATAATAGTCTTCTTTTTTATTTCAATAAAAAATGTTTCTTTTGAAGAAATGACATCTTCAAAAGAAACTACTCTTCAATTGTTTTCTAGAACCTATGACTCCCCATAGCTTGTCTGTCTTGTGGGAAATGTCCTCTATGAGGTTACACATTAACCAGGAAGCTCTTTCCCTGAATAAATGAACTTATAACCCTTCTTAAAGAAATTTATCTCACACTTATCAATATTTGATATTATCATGGAAAAATACTGTCATTCAGAAATACCTATTAGCAGAAGATTCTTATAAATTTTATAATTCTTTTTCTTATAATTCTTATAAATCTGCCTCTGCCTTTTTTGACATTCTTAACTGAGTCAATATACAGTCATAAAAATGTTGTGAGGCCCTCAAACACATAGTGTTTATAATTTCTAAAATTAATTTTCATTATTGTTTTTAAGTTACTGATCAGTATAAGTCAGTGAAAGTTTTGAGAAATTATGACATATTTATCAATGTCCATTAAGTGACACCTTTTTGAACTTATAAACATTTGTCTCTTTAAACACAATTTGCCTGCATCCTAATGAGGAAAAACAAACAAACAAACAAGTTACCAACAAGAAAATGGTACAAGTGTCAGGAAGAATGGATTCTTAAAACTTTAAAAATTACAGATTATAAATATTGTAAAACTAAGGCAATTTTACTGGAAGGGATGAACTGATAAATTATGCACAGTAAACATATTGAAAACTCCAGGAAAATTTCAAAGACAATCAAGAGATGCTGTTTTGGTTAATTACATTTGGGTGAGATTTTTGTTCTTTGACCTAAACTCATGTTTTCAATTACTGTCAATACATACTTATTTCTAGTCATTGCCTTTTGAAACCTCAATATGACACATTTTAAGAAAAAAAAAAAACTGTATATACAAAAAGTTAGGCTAGAAAGTTGTAGCTCACTAATTTACAAGTCTTATTTTTAAAACTATTCCTAAAATTATTTAAACATTATATTGCCATATTGTATCTCAGTTATACTTTATTGAGTAACTAACTACATGGTAAACATGACTGTATGACTAAATAGAGACCAGTTAAAGACTTTATCTAAGAGATGTATGCCATGCTTTCACTAGAATACTAACCTGTGTTCAAACTTACAACTAGAAGACCTTGTCCATTTAAAAATTACTTAATCAACAATCTCAAAAATTTGGACTTAAAACCCATTACAGTGAGGGTGGCGATTAGAAATGGGAAATCATCCTACAGTTCACATTTTTCAATCACTAACCTACAAAAAATTTTTGATTAATTTGTTTCCTTAAAGGAGCTCCAGATACATGTTTTTGAAAATTAAATATGGAGCTATTTATACTCTACAACATTAAATGTACCCTCCCTCACAGAATGTTAGTCTACTTTCATATTAAACTTATAGACAGTTTTATTTACAAATATCCTACTTAGTTGAGTGAAATTTGTCCCTTCAAAATGAGGAAGATAGGATTTGTAACAAAAAATAGTGATAATGTTTCTATTATATTTTGTAAAGATTATCTTACATTTTAATAGAAATTTTGATTCTTCAAAGAACTTTCATCTATCATCTCAGCAGTCTTTTGGAAGAATTTTGCTTTTAATACTTGGTTCTTAGTCTAATTTCCAAGAAATTGGCATAAGCTCTATTGTAAATAGAGCTTGCCTCTGTTACTTGCTGGTTACTCAAAATTAAGATTTATTAGGCAGTTCTGCTTTGGAGAAAATTATTATGGTCTTGCCCATGTCATGACTGGCTGTAGCTCATTTATCTTTTATTTGCTATTTTCAAGACTGAAGTAAAACAGACCTATAATTTAAGTTGAAACAAGTGCACACAAATCATATTCCCATAACAAAAACTGGCAAGACAACATAATTTGTCGTTGAAAAGCTTAGTAACATTTAGAATTGGCCAGTCATTGCCTATCATCCAATTCTGATTCTAGAATGTTCCTTATCCCTGAGACAACAAATTAAAGTGATTTTTGAAACAGCATATCACCATTTCCTTTGTAACCGCACAATGCCTATTGTCATTTAGATATGAGGTATCCCCCAAAAGTTCATGTGTGAGAAAAAGAATGTTCAAGGTAAAACAATGTGAATATGAGAAGTGCAACCTAATCAGTAGATTAATTATTGATTTGGATTAACTGAGAAGTAACTGTAGACAGGTAGGGTATGGCTAGAGGAAGTCGGTCGTTAGAAGTGTGCCTTTTGGTTCATATTTTGTCACTGATGAGCCCAGTACTTCAGCTTCTTAACTGCCCTGTCCTGAGTTGCTTTTCTCTGCAGTGCTCTTCCACCACAATGTTCTTTTTTTTTTTAATTTTTTATTGTTGATTGTTCAAAACATTACATAGTTCTTGACATATCATATTCCACATTTTGATTCAAGTGGGTTATGAACTCCCACCTTCACCCCATACACAGATTGCAGAATCACATCAGTTACACATCCATTGATTTACATATTGCCATACTAGTGTCTGTTGTGCTCAGCTGCCTTTCCCATCCTCCACCATCCCCCCTCCCCACCTCTCCCCTCCCCTCCCCTCCTCTCTGTCTACCCCCTCCACTGTATAACCCTGAGGGTCTCCTTCCATTTCCAAGCAATTTCCCTTCTCTCTCCCTTTCCCTCCCACCTCTCATCCCTGTTAAATGTTAATCTTCTTCTCATGCTCTTCGTCCCTACTCTGTTCTTAGTTACTCTCCTTATATCAAAGAAGACATTTGGCATTTGTTTTTTAGGGATTGGCTAGCTTCACTTAGCATAATCTGCTCTAATGCCATCCATTTCCCTGCAAATTCTATGATTTTGTCATTTTTTAATGCAGAGTAATACTCCATTGTGTATAAATGCCACATTTTTTTTATCCATTCGTCTATTGAAGGGCATCTAGGTTGGTTCCACAGTCTTGCTATTGTGAATTGTGCTGCTATGAACATCGATGTAGCAGTGTCCCTGTAGCATGCTCTTTTTAGGTCTTTAGGGAATAGACCAAGAAGGGGAATAGCTGGGTCAAATGGTGGCTCCATTCCCAGCTTTCCAAGAAATCTCCATACTGCTTTCCAAATTGGCTGCACCAATTTGCAGTCCCACCAGCAATGTACAAAGTGTACCCTTTTCCCCACATCCTTGCCAGCACTTGTTGTTGACTTCCTAATGGCTGCCAATCTTACTGGAGTGAGATGGTATCTTAGGGTGGTTTTGATTTGCATTTCTCTGACAGCTAGAGATGGTGAGCATTTTTTCATGTACTTGTTGATTGACTGTATGTCCTCCTCTGAGAAGTGTCTGTTCAGGTCCTTGGCCCATTTGTTGATGGGAAAACTGGAAATCCATATACAACAAAATGAAACTGAATCCCTTTCTCTCGCCATGCACAAAAGTTAATTCAAAATGGATCAAGGAGCTTGATATCAAATCAGAGACACGCCGTCTGATAGAAGAAAAAGTTGGCTACGATCTACATTCGTGGGGTCGGGCTCCAAATTCCTCAATAGGACACCCATAGCACAAAAGTTAATAACTAGAATCAACAAATGGGACTTACACAAACTAAAAAGTTTTTTCTCAGCAAAAGAAACAATAAGAGAGGTAAATAGAGAGCCTACACCCTGGGAACAAATCTTTACTCCTCACACTTCAGATAGAGCCCTAATATCCAGAGTATACAAAGAACTCAAAAAAATTAGCCACCACAATGTTCTGCCTTACTTGTGCCTAAAACTGTGGAGTCACTCCCGAATAAGCTGAACTTCAGATACCATGAGACAAAATAGACTCTTCCTTTTCTATGTTTTTCTTATCAGGTCTTTGGTCACAGTGACAAAAAAGCTAACTAAAACTGCCAAACAAATAATACATCCCTAATCAATAATGGCTGAATTAAATACATAACTCAAATAATGGTGAATATTATTGCTTCCTGATGTTTTAAGAATGTCGTAAAACATGGTGAAACTATCTGGTTGTACCATGTGAAATCAAAATGCAATGATTTATCTGCATAATGCCTTTCAATATTGTAATGGTTGGAAAGGAAAGGAAAATTTATAAGAAATTTATATAAGTCATTAAACATAAAACTGGAGAAAAAGTATATAGATAGTTCTGGGAGTAATACTGGCAAGAACAATTTGTTGCCATAAAACAGCCTGCAAAGATCTAAAACTACAGGCCTAACATACTTGTTTTTCTCCTTTCTGAAATGAGATCACAAATTAATGAATTATATGATGACAACTGGGGCAGGGCCTTCTTCAGGATCTCCTATCCCATATCTTGACTTATATTCTGAATTCTGAACATTATAAGTGTCATTGTTCATTTCCAAACCTCTTTGGAACAAGTTTGTTTTCTTTTCTCTCTTTGCTCCAACTACTTTTGTTGTCCATTCAGTCTCTATAAATACGTTTATATATTTCCTTAAAGTGATTTCATTGTTGTCCTTTGTCAAACTTAATGTCATATGTTATATCCTGTGGTTAGAGGGAATGACAAATTCACGCTAAAGATAATTTTATTCTGTATAAAAGGAGGAAAGTAGA